TATATATATATATATATATATATATATATATATATTATGCGCCTATAACATGCATAATGTTTTAGAATATGCTACATATGACATATATGCATACCTTACACACACTGCCGATTACAGGAATATATATGGTGAATATATATGGGCATTTGCAAAAAGATGCAAAGACGGCACTTTCCTAAATTGTACCCAGCAGCAGCCACCGTCTCACATTCTCGCAAGTCCAGATTTTTAACTGGGAAGGTGACGATCGTAGGGTTCTTTTCGATGAAGAAATTGTTCTTCGAAAACCTTTTTACGGCAAGCACCAAATAACGCGGCAACTTCCATAAAGTACATTTCTTGCGCTGCAGAGGAGTGGGTCCCTGCGAGCAAAGGGAGCAGGCCATGATACGATGCATGAGGAACAAACAAGAAATACGACTCCATACTCATGTATAAACGGAAATCAACTGCAGTGTGTTCTGCTATCTTAGCTTTACTAAGTCAGTTCCCCTTCTTAAATAAAGATGCACAAGGGCAACCCCCGCTGCTCACGCTGTCAGTTTCGCCGTCGAACTTCTGCAGTAAATCAAAGATGGGCACCTGAGCACAGCAACAAGAAGGCAGACAATCACCAACTTACACACCATAAGAAGACATTCACCGTACCTGCATTACTCTTCTACAATATTCTCTAGCTAAGTTCAATATGCATGCATGGTGCACACAGGGGAAAAAGTGACTTGTGTCTGACGGACTGTTGGAATCATATTACGGTCGAGCGAATCCTTGAAAATCGGAGCAGCAGGCAAATCAAGGGTCAAATACCTGAATCAAAACGACAAAAGAAACCAATAAAAAGCGGAGAGAATGTAATGAATATATCTTAAACACCATAAATTACAATGTTTGCCACTTCCGCGACTGGCTTGTCTGTGGCTACCCCGTAACTTTGCAGAACCTGTGAATCAACAGCGACTAAACCGAAATCAACGAAACAGGTGCAAATGAAGAGGTTCAAGACCTTATGCACAATCGTGCACGCATGCACGCATGCGTGCATGCAGGTGCCCGTCTGTGCTGACAAAGGGGCAACCTACAGAAAGGGTGTGTGTTTCGATTCGCCACTCTGCGCATCTGTTACGAGGACTTCCCCCTGAAAGCATTCATGAATGATGGAGCCTGTGGCGAACACAGACAAAGACAGGCATCCAAGAAGCACGACGCAGGCCACATGATATATGCATGCCTATGCCTCTGTATGTGGGAACACATCCCTCCTGAAGCTTTTGCTGCTGCAGCTCAAACCCACTTCCTGTCTTCCTGTCTCGCTGATCGCGGTGCAGCACATTCAATAACCAAGCAAACAAAGCCAAAGGGTCCGCTTGTTCCCCGATGCGAAATTTCTTCTTACTCTCCACCCCAACAGCCTGAGAAACAAATCCACTACTCTCCACAATTCAATCTCTCAAAGGTTACCCAAAATGCACATGCATGCATGCATGCACGCATGAGTAAGCACAGCACATCACAGCACCAATATTGTGAATAATGTACAAAAAAGAAAGAAAAAAGGGGAATTTCTGCGACAAAATATTTACCTGCAAGAATTCGTGTGGGGATACGATGCCTTTAAAGTTTCTTCTGTTGAATATTTTTCTCATCAACTCTGAGAGGGTTTTCAATACTGCATTAAATTTCTGCTTGTCCGATAGATCCAACAAGAGCAAAAAATTTCGCAGCGGTATCACCGTACACAGACTCTGCGTCAGACCCACACCAAGCACAGTCACACACGCGTGCATGCATGCATCCACATACAGACACCCAAGCCTACACACATGCATACATGCATGCATGCATGCATGCGTGTACGAGTCTTTGCAGAAGGGAGCTGATCCGCTGCATGCCATGCGTGTTCATATGAAGAGAGGGGAGTCACTTACTTGAATAACAACTGCGAAGAAGTCTGTTTTGCTTAGATTATTTAGACCAACACAACCAGGTAAATAATCAGCACCATCTAATGATTTGCCATAGAAGACTTCCGTAGATAGACGAGCAACATCTTCCGATGTGTATGTTGGATTCAAGTTGTACTGAAAAAGTTGCACGTAGACCCTAAACCCTAAACCCGAAACCCTAAACCTTGAACCCCTCCTTAAGAGGCAGACTGTGTGTGACTGCTACTTAAGAAACCATCTGTACGATTCCTTCGCCTTATGCCTCATTAAGCCTATAGCATAAACCCTCGAGGGTTTTTTGGTGCTGCTTACGATGATGTCTTGTAGGGAATAATCTTGTACTTCGTAATTATCAGGAAGACAATAAACTTTACATGTTGTAAGATTTACATACACAAAATGTCTTTGCTCTAACGCATGCATGAAGGCGAACGTGGACCTCCCGCGGCCTGCATGCAGCCAACCAACCCATTGACACAGTTACACATTTCCTGACAACTGCACGCATGCATTGAAAGCAGCAGCAGCACTAACAGCAACATAAGTACCAACAGCAGAATGAGCAAAAACAGCAAAAACAAGGGCAGCAGCAACAGCAGCAGCAGCAGCAACTTGCATTCACCTACCCTGAAAGTATCGCCCGCACACAAGACAAGCGTAGACATGTTGATTAGAGAGGCAAATGCTGCAGACTTTTTCGAAGTCAAAATCCAACATATGTTTGTTAATAGTACCGAGGTAAGGACATGTCCTCCTCACACGCTTCTGTACTGGAGCACTGCTGCTGCTGCTGCTGCTACTGTTGTTGCTGCTGCTGGTATTGCTGTTGGTGTTATCGCTGGTAGTGCTACTGTTGTTGGTCGCGCTGCTGCTGCTGTCATTGCTGCTGCTATCCTCACTGGATTTAACGCCAGATGACGCTTCGTTAGGCCGTTTAGAGCCCACGGAGTCTGCTGCTGCCGCTGCTGCTGCTGCTGCTGCGGTTTCTGCTGGGGCCTCCCCCCGAACCTCGTCAGTTGCAGCTCCCTCTGGCATCCTGCCTTTTCTTCCTTTTCCTTAAACCTGATAGATAGACAATTTATTAAACAATTAACAATAAGAAAAAGTGTTTGCCTTTGCCGCACGTCCTACACCACCCGGTACAAGGACTGCGAGGCGCTGTGGTGAAATAGACAGCGGCACTGCAGCAAAAACACCTTCTTCCCCTTATCAGCGCTTCATTATATTTATTTAAACAAATAATATATTTAAAACATTTCCTTTTCTCTCTTTACTCAATAACACGAGTAGGTCGCGCAGAAGGCCTCTGCTGGGTCCCTGCATGCAGCTCCGCAAGCCTGTAGCTACTTGAGCGATGTTGTATGCAGTGCTGCACGCAGTCAAAAAACAATTAAATAAACAATTATATTTCCTCTAATTAATATTGATATACATAGGGAAAAAGTGTTTGCTGCTGTTGTTATCCTGATTTCCCCTCCCATTGTACCCTAATCACTAAGGAGAACAAGGAATTAGGCTCTTAGGGGTGCTAATGCAGGTGTTTGTCCGGCGGGGGAGGGGCGAAGGGTGCAACAGATATTGGCATATATATAAACTGGGGTGTACCAAGGGCCCGTCTGCCCCCTATGTCCTCATGAGGAAGCGGAAGCCGTTTGTCTTGTTTAGAGACTTACTTAACCACCTCTTACTATGCAAAGTACTCACAGCCTAAACCCTAAACCCTAAACCCTAGACTCTAGGCCGTTTGCGCACTCTGAATAAGCATTCAAAACCTCCCATGAATTAAAGAGATTACGCGGCTGAAGACGATGCGGAGCCCGTAGGTCCTAAACCCTAAACCCTAAACCCTAGCAAACAATGGTAGCAGGCAGTACAGCACTGCATTGTCCTTTAGTAGTGTTTCTTTCGGCCTTGTATTTCGTTATACACTGCATGTAGATCCTTCCTTACATCTTAGGGTTTAGGGTTTAGGGTTTCTTAGGGTTACGTAAACCCTGCAGTTTAGACAAAAAGGCAAGGGATTATATCCTTCACCACCAATCCCCTAGAGGAATACCCTTGTCCTTTTTGTACTTTATGCTGCTGCTGCTGTTACTGCTGCTCTATTTACGCATTAGATTTATATTTATTTCCTTCCCTCTTAGTATAAATATACACCCTTCTTCTTAGGTAACAAAGAAGACGAGCAAAATGTATAATTCATTCTATGCACGATTCTTGCCTTTGGCGAAGGAATAGTACTATTACTACTAATCTTACTATTATTATTATTATTACTATTATTATTATTATTATTATTTTATTATTAGGGGAAGCAATAGTAATAATAATAATAATAATTATTATTATTATATTATTAGTAGAAGAAGTGTCTTATGAGGCTACAGACGTCTCCAGTAAAGAAATTAGTGAACTGCAGACAGCAGCAGTAGCAGCAGCAGCAGCAACAGCAGACCCTGCAGCAGCAGCAGCAACAGCAGCAAGAGGAGCAAAGCCTGCAGCAGCAACCGTCGACACCAAACACCGGCAACACCTCGCATCCTCTTCTACTACTACAGCTGCTGCTGCTGCAGCAGCAGCAGAGCTGCTGCTGCTGCTGCCCCTGCAGCTCCGTGTAAATGTAGCGCATAAAAAGTAAGCAGCATTAGTAGCAGCAAAATAAAGAGAATAAAGAATATTATTATGCTGCTGTTCTTTATATACCTTCCTTCTTTAGGCAAACAGAAGCCACGGCACTGCCACACTTTTTTCTTTATATATTAATAATATTAATACTAATAAATTATAATTTATATAATATAAAAATAAGAAAGAATTTTACCTAAAAAATAGTTGAATTGTATATGAATAAAGAAACAAGATTAAAATATACGAATAAATGAATAAGGAAGAGGGAGTGTGCATAGATGAATAAATGAATAAAAGATTAATAAATGTATATTTAATAAAATAAATTAATAAAAAAAATATAAAATAAAAGATTTATTATTTAATAAAAAAAAAAAAGCAATAAAAACAAACAAGACTCGCTGATCAGGTTACTAAAGGAAGAAAATCACAGCCCTGGTCTACTCCCTCTCTTATTTATTTTCCTCCTCCTTTTATTGCGTTGTTTTTCTATTCTCTCTAGGCCTACCTACCTAATAAATAAGCAGTAGCCTATGAGTACAACGCATGCAAATACTTGCATGCATGCATGCAAAATGCATGAATGCAAATATTTGCATGTATATGCATGCATGCATGTGCTGCGCGGCTTACAGCCCCAACAAATATTTCTGCTGCAGCCAAGATAAACGCGCATGGAGTTGAGGAAAATAAATAAAAAGACGCGGAGGTTTGCGACCTTTCGCCTTTGCCGCTATAACCTCAGGAGTCTTAGTGACCTTATATATAGGGGCTCCCTTTCTTATACAAATGTTTTCATCAGCCAGCGAGGGGGAGTATATTGACCTATTTTTATGAAATATAACAGGAAATATACATAAAATAACATAAAATACGGGAAAATAAAGACACTTAACTGCTAAGATATACGCACACGCCTGCAACAGGCACAGCGAGGCACCGCACAACAGATCACGGATAGCACCCCACAGGCATGCAAATAAACATAAAAAGAATAAAAATAATTAAATGCACGATCTATTCTAATTTAAATAAAGATAAAAGATGCAAAATGGTGCATTCTTTTGCCATCCTTTGCATAGGTCGCAGTGCACGAAGGGAGGCCTGCTGCTGTGGGCTTGCTGTGCATGCAGCCCGTTTATTTTAAGGGTTTAGGGTTTAGTCATAAACCCTAAACCCTAATCGTTACGAAAATATATACTTTACAAGTAAACAAAAGTACTTTTGAACCCCCTTAACTTAGCACAGCAAACCCTAAACCCTAAACCCTAAACCCTAAACCCCACTAATGTTAGGCTAGTGAATAATACGCACACAACGGCAACGGTTATGTAGTATATATAATATGCATAATATGATTATATTATATAATATATTATATAAAAGAATTTATATTATTACTCTTATTTGTTATTATAGGGTTTTTTTCTCCTTATTTATCTCCTTATTCATGTATTTAGTTAGTAAGAAATATCTCTATGCCTAGTATGCTGTTTTTTTTGCCCTCCTCTTCCTACGCTGTTCCTCTCCTAAGCAATACAGTATATTATTATATATTATACAATATAATAATATATACAATACACTATTAACTAGCTAGTAGCTAGCTAATTAATAGTGCTAGCTACTAGCTAGCTCCTAGCTAGCTAGTACCTATAAACCAGCTAGCTACCAGGTCGCTATCAGCTATAGCTACCGTTTAGCTACTAGCTAGCTAGTAGCTAGCTACCAGCTAGCTGTGTGTATAGGCAGCAACAAGACGCATGCATGCATGCATGCATGCATGCATGCATGCATGTATGCTTAATAAAGTAATTCTTATGCAGAGTTAAGGAAGAAAAAAGAAGAAAACAAATCAAGAAAATAATTATATAAAATATATATTATATATACAATATATAATATATATTTTATATATTATATATAAATACGTATAATATACATATATACTGCTGTACTGCTGCTGCGTGTGTGTATACGCAGCAGCAGCAGCAACAACAACAATAAGAATAATCATTATTATTAATAAGAACAAGAATAAAACAAGTAAATAAATAAATAAATAAATAAATAAATAAATAAATAAATAAATAAATACATAATAAAAAAAGAGAGTAAATAAACAAATACAGCAAAAAGCAACAAAAGCAAAAGCGTCAAGAATAAATAATAGTGACAATAGGCGGCTCTGCCTCCCGCTGCTTCTGCTGTTGCTGCTGCTGCTGCTGCTGCTGCGTATGCTGCTGCTTTTGGGTTACTATTTGTGCATGCATGCGCCATTGCACGCATGTGCTACTGCATGCATGCATGCATGCATGCATGCATGCATTTGCTGTTCCTTGCATGCACTGAATGCTGCATGCATGCATTTACTGCTGCTGCTGCATGCATGCATGCATGCATGCATAACCGTTTATTTGCATTTTCTCCATACAGCAGTAATAAAT